GACCTTTGACGTATCTGACCTCCCAAAGTCCCACAACAAAGGAGAGGTCTTTGCTCCCCAAAGCTGGCCTGTGGCTCATGGCTGGAGTGTGGAGAATCACGGTAGGCAGCAAAGAATTATGCAAAACACCAAACCAAACCAAACCAAGACAAAAAAGGAGCTTGTGAGTTTATCAGGTGCCCGATGAGCCAGGGACAGTTGTAAGTACAGGAAGCTGCCCACAGCATGTCCGCAGAGCAAGCTGGGAAACACCTTGGGTCAGATCTCCTGTGTGCTTTGAGGGGCCCTTCTTAGTTATCTGTAAGCTACCCCTTTCTCAGGAGGGTGAGGGGCTGCCCTAACCTGCTATGTCCCCCATGAGGAGGGTGACTCCACCTGAGCAGACACTGCAGGGCACCCAGGGCCCTCCTATCCCCGGCGCCCACTTGTCCTGGTCTGCAGAGCACGTGCCCCGTGGGGGATGCCGGTGCCACAGTCCATATCCCAGAAGCAGCCTCAGTGACAGCAGGTGCCAGTGGACATGCTCCCAGCCCTGGGTCCTTAAGGAGAACGGCCATGGATGGTCTATGTGGTCTCGGGGGAAGAAGGTGCTGGGCATGTCCAGGTTGGCCAAGGGAGGCCTCTTGCTCATGGGCACCTGGCCCTGGATCCTGCTGTCCACTGGGCTGTGTTGGGTGGTGACTGGCCATTGACAAGGTCCCTTCCCCTGGGGCCATGACAGGCTGTGCTTCCCAAGATTCTCAGGCAGCATCCCTGTCCATTCACCTTCTGGATGTTTCCAGGCCCCGTCAAGAGGAGGAGCTTCATCCCCCTCCCCTTTGACCTGTGTGGGCTTTGACATGCTTGTAAGCATCGAGACTCCATGGACAAAGCAGAGCAGTGCTCACCTGGTTGGCTGGAGTTTTGAACGATGGCCATGGACAGAGCCCCAGGCCACATGTGGGCAAAAAGCCGGGTCATGGGGATCCGCAGGAGGGGCCCAGGCTGGCAGTCCTCCCACGAGTGGTCAAGTAGACACTCAGGTGGCTCAGAATGCCATGGGGGCATGCCCAGCCTTCACGTTTGCCCAGTGGAGGCCCAGACACCGGGGCAGAGGCAGCCACCCTGATCCTGGCCCGCAGTTCCTGGGTGCAAAGTAAGGCCATGTGCTTGGGTGTTGGTTATGCAGCAGCAGCTGGGCCAGGAGCGTGGAGGGGAGATGAAGCCTGGATACCCCACTGCCATCACTACAGCTAGCTCTCTGCCTCCGAGATCTCATATAGATTGTGGTTCTGTTGGGAGAGCCTTGCCCTGTGTCCTGGCCCACCTGACCCCCAGCATGAGGTTGTGTTCCTTCCTTGAGCTCCTCCTATATAGGAACGTTCTGCAGTGTCATCCCAGCCCACACCCCTGTCTGAGACTGGCCAACCCCCTATAGCTGTAGGGGTGGGGTGCGGAACATCTGTCTACTAGACGACCCCCTGGATGTCATCTAGTTCAGATGGTGGGACTGACCTGTGTCAGTTGTTTGGCCTCCAACACTCAGTGCCCTGCATGGGGTCTGGCCCACAGGAGTCCAGTGATGGCAGTGAAGTGGACGAGGAGTCAGCGGAGCCATCAGCAGGGCCTCTCATGGGCCGACCCTGCAGTGGCTGGTCTGGCAGGTCTCAGGAGCTCCTCTCCTCTGATTCTGAGACGCTTCTCTGGACAGTCCTCCATAGTTTTGTCTCGGGCCCCCCTCCTTGTCCACTGAGCTCTCTTGCTCCCAGCCCCAGTCCCTTCCACTCCACCCATCCCACTGTAGGTCCCCCATGGCTGTGATCTTCCTCTGCTGGCCTTGAAGGTGGTGGAAGGGAGGGGTCAGGCCTGTGGCCGGCACTGTTCCTGCAGAGACAGAGACTCCATTGCAGGTCACACTGATGCTCCCTGGACGACTGTGCTCCGCCCCAAATTTGGGTCCTGGAGGATGGTGCTTGTGGCCACCAAACCCTGCAAACCTACAGGCAGTGTTGTGCCTGCTGCCTGTCCCACGCCAAGGTGGAGTCTATCCCTCCACCTCCTCACAGACTGGCCAGTCTTGTGACTGGATCCAGCCAGTAGAATGTGCTGGAAGGGATCATTGAAGCTGGCACATCAGAGACGGCAGGTGAAAGTCAGAGCCTCCTTCCAGACCTGTGAGGCTGCCTCAGCCCATCAGGCTGGATGAGTCCCAGATCACACAGCCATGAGCCAGCCTGAGAGGCCGGCCCCACGGTTGTTACTACAAACCACCAAGTTTGGGGTGCAGTTTGCTGTGCTGCAGCAGATGATTGATACATTGCTCCTGCCAGGGACACTGCCCTTCCTGAGGACAGCCACCAGCCCAGGCCACGCTCCTGGGGTGGTGCTGCTTGGTGGACGGTGGAGCTCCCTTGAGCAGGCTTTCTCCAGGATGCGGCTCTGGCACTGTTAACACTTCCACAGGCTCAGTATGGACCTTGGTTCCTAAGAGGTCGGTGCTGCATTTACAGACCATGGTCCCTGTAGGCCGCCCTCCCTGAAGGACAGTGCTCTATTGTGGATTATGATCCTTGGTATGTAGGGTTCCCTCACAGGGAATGCTCCCAGGAGGGCGACTCCTCCCAGGAAGGTGAGTCCTCCCAGAAGAGGCTCCCAGGAGCGTGATTCCTCCCAGAAAAGGCTCCCAGGAGGGTGATTCCTCCCAGGAGTGCTCCCAGGAGGGTGAATCCTCCCAGAAGAGGCTCCCAGAAGGGCAATTCCTCACAGGAATGATCCCAAGAGGGTGATTCCTCACAGGAGTGCTCTTGAGAGTATCCCCTCACAGG